TTAAACAAAAAGCTAAAAAAAAAGATGAAATAGAAGCATAAATATCTGATTATAGCAAAATATCTGTTAGCTGATTGAAGTTTTTTAGTTATTATTTAAAGGATGTTTTGGTGCGTTTGCGTTGACGATTATGTATTCTGTTGGCAACTGTTTCAGTAACATATTCAGCTATTTATATAAGTATATATTATATAATAATTTATCAAAATAAATGAAATTTTATTACTTTGAAACAAATTTTCTTGAAATGTTGATTCACGACTAATGCTTTGTTCTCGATTTGCTGGAGATTTTGTGGTTATCTAAAGCCGAAGACATTATCTTCATCAAGTTGCTAAAGATTTTTTGAGTCGTCATCAATCTAGGATACGCTTTTAGTTTTGACGAATACTCACGAGATCAGGTTCAGTACGAGATGTTTCAAATAGTTGATCAATTACTTTCTCGTGTGTCACGGTTGGTTGATCAACACTGCACAAACTTCCATCATTACCATCATCTAAGTAGCTTAAAAATTTATATCGTATGAATAGGATTACTTCTAACGTACCTTTCAAAAAAATATTAGCTGGTTGGTTGTTGTCGGTTGTATGATGTTCAGAATTTCTCCTATCTATTATATTATTTGTTGAATAATTATCATTTTCCATTGTTGAAACATTCTCACTATCAATCGACTGACTTTCTTCTGTTAATATGGACGAAGAAACATTTAAAATAAAAACATACAAATATCATTTCATTTATAAATTGACATTAAACGTCTTACCACTAGGTATACCCTCATTTTCACCTTCATTACGTCGAAAAAGAGATGTAAAATCAATATTTAAACGTTGATAACGTTCTAGTTGAAGTACTTCTATGACACCTTCGCTCACTGCACCTACCGTGTTGAGCGAGATAGTTTTACAAGATGCCATATAACTGTTGTAATTGAGCCGTTCATCATTCATTTTCGCCAAGAGCCCAATAAATTTTTCTTTTGAATCATCATCATCTGAAGGTATCATTTTGACATAAATAGTTGCTTTGCTTTTGCTGCAAATAAGACCATTTGGAATAGTTAACAAGTATCCATCATTTACTAATGGTGTGAGGAAACTTTGTTCCAATATTGAACTAGCTTTCTTTAGAAAACTATTAATATAAAGATTACTTTTAATAAAAACCAATGAATTGTGAAGTAAAATAGAAGTCTTATAGTTATTGGTTTTTTTAAGCATATTTTGTTGTTTTCTGGTTAATGGTACCGTAGTTTTACTTGAAATATCAATCGAACATTGAAATGTATCCATTGATTCAACTAATTCATAGTTTTCATCTGTTGTACTGATTCTCATCGTTGGTCTGATGTTTCTTCCCGACGAACCGATCCAGTTCTTTTTATCTTCTCCAGATATTTTCATAAGACTCATATATTGGGCTAGATTTTGAACTGTAACATTTTGTGCTCTTTTGCATATGTCTGTACTAATGATAAAATTCTGCTCCTTGCATAATATTGAACAATACTGCATCTCAGCAATTTTTGCAGCTCGATGAAAAAAAGGTGCATCAACTTGACCATCACCAAACGTAACGTAATGATTAATATAAACAGAAACTAAATCAAAGGCTGCCTCTGTTAAACCACAAAGACCTGCAATTCGGTATGAAACAAGAGCAGTTTTATTTAATCGAGCAGATACATTATCTTTTACATCTGGTTCACTTCCTAGAATTTAAAGAATTTATTTAAGTATATTAGAATACATAAGATAAATGGCGTCTTCCAATTTGGAATCTCCCAGAACATTTTCAATTCTTTGGAAAAATATTTACTCCACATACCAGCAATCCGAAATTAATATGCTTGATTAGCCAAAATATTTTTTCCATCTCGTGCTAATTCAAGGAGGAGATCAGCAAAAAACCCGCATAAAACTGCAAATTGTTTCAATGAACAATATTGAGAATAGTCAATTGACATAATACATTGCTCATTTGGAATTGGTTCACCATCCAGAGGCCAAAGAATAAAACGTTCAAATAGAGCATCAGCTGATAATGATGCTGCTTGTCTAACTAATTCAGCAGCAATTAAATCACCAGTAGACGCACCCTAAAACAAATGTAGAAAATTATATTTTTAACAAATGCTAGCTACATACAAAAATATTCTATTTGGAACCAGAAATATCAATTTCTTCTTTTTTCAATACACGACAAAAATGGCCAGGCTTTTCGTGTAGTCATCAATGTTGATCGAAATGAATCAACTTTTGTTGGTGTAATATCAGATGGAGATGGTAACAATAATCCAAATGATTTCAAGCTGACATCAGCTTCGTGTAAGTGCATCGTTCTTGCACATTGTTTTAAATTATTCAAAATACCAGCTGGTGTTCCATCGTTGAAAGCCACTCTTGTGGGATTTCGCCGAAGATTTTTTGAATTCAATAAATTTTTTGTTGATGTTGTTCTTGCTGCAGTAGATGATCCTGATTGTTCAGAAGTATTTTCTTCACTTGACTCATCTACTTCTTTATTATCTTCGAATTGATGAAAATAAATTGCAGCTGTTTCCCCTATTAAGGCCGCCAGATCTAATATGTTTGATTTGCTATAACCTAGAGAAAACAATAAAATAAATGTTTTTACTAAATATGGAGTTTATCATCGATTATTTTTAATATATTTTAGCCTATGAGAGAGAAAGAGTGCAAGATAATTGTATCTGTAGGTATCATTATCAATTTGGAACCCATTGACTGCATACATATTTCTTAAATTAAATAAAATATCAATATTTGAAAGTAACAGATACATTGTTTTTATTTACTTTCCAGAAAAAAAACTAAGTTTACTAATAATCTAACTTCTTTCATGTAACTGATGAACAAAACCCTTTTCTATTCCAGAAACATTTTTTAGGTCTTCTCCTCTTCTATACGGATACCCTCTATCAAGTTTTATTTTTATGAAAAAAAATTATATTCATCAACATTTAAAAATATAATGTACAAAATCAATATCAACCTGAACGAGCAACCACGAGATTGTATAAGTTGCATGGTACTAGAAAATGAGAAGCACGATTGACATATGTGGAACGACATGTGGTAGCTACACCATTTATAATAGCCAACACCATGGCATGTGCATCAATTTGGTAGTATGATGCTAAATGCCGAATATAATGTGCCAAATTTTGAGAAAACCACATTTCTGGTTCAATTTTTAGCATGCAAGCCACTTTCAGATTGCTCCGAAATCGTTCCATTGGATTCATAGTGTTCACTAAAATATTCGATCTACAAAATACAATTGCATCACAATATAAAAAAAACAATTATACATAAAAGGTTCGCTTAAATGGAAATTCAATCTTATTGTTTCCTTTTTAATTGACGATGATTATCTGAAAGTTACTTGTTAACTTACACATAGTAAATGAACAGAGTTAATCATTCCTTATCATTCGAAGCTAGATACGATAAATAATGTCCTTCTCGATTATCCAACTGAAAATTAACAATAAAAAAAAATTTATTTACTTCAATTTAAACATGGAACTAGTGCTAGAAAATAGCGCTAGCATTATACTTCTTCCACGACATCGATTACTTTGTGGACAAAGCGATACGGTCTAACTATTTCGCTTTCGAATAAGAACCATTTCCCCGTGAAAGAAAAACCATTTCTCTCTAAATTCCAGTATATGTACAGTATAATATAATAGATTATATGTATATATTTTTTTTATTCTTTCTTTCCATTTCTCTTTGTTCAACCATTTCCCTTTGAAAGAAAAACCATTTCTCTCTAAATTCAAGTATATGTACAGTATCATATAATAAATTATATGTGTATATATTTTTTTTTATTCTTTCTTTTCATTTCTCCTTATTCAGCCATTTCCCTTTGAAAGAAAAACCATTTCTCTCTAAATTCAAGTATATGTACAGTATCATATAATAAATTATATGTATATATTTTTTTTTTTATTCTTTCTTTTCATTTCTCCTTGTTGAACCATTTCCCTTTAAAAGAAAAACCATGTCTCTCTAAACTCAAGTATATGTACAGTATCATATAATAGATTATATATATATGTATATATAATTCTTTTTTTTTTCATTTCTTCTTGATATGTATGACTTTATGTGGGGATGAAGCATTTTCCCATAAAGTGGAACAACTTTCCCTATCGACTGGTCCAATGATCCACTACTGCAGTGGCAAGAGCAAATTTGAGTTTTTATTTAGCTGATGCGACAATGGCTTTAGGAGCTTTCGAAGAAAGTGGTATGATAAATAGTTTTAATTGTATGATTGAAAATGACACATTGCCTGTTTATTTAGCTTCAACTGTTGGGAACGAAAACTTGAGAAATAGGCATTTGAGTAGCTATCAACCTTACAAACAGTGACTTTTGAAAACAATGCAAAAGAAAGATGGAATTGCATGTAACATTTCACCGAATGAACATATAACTCCGATTTAGACTAGCCAATTCAGATTCTATGTTTGCAATCGAAGATGTAATTGCAATTTTTCGTGTCGCGGGTGAGTGTGGAGTGTGGGTGTGGGCATGGGCGGCGCAAGGTCAGTTTTGTAGGGGTAGCAATAAACTATTCATTCACTTCTTCTCTTCTCTCCCCTCCCCGATGATCAGTCCGATGCAAAAAATTGTTTCCACTAGAACTTAACTTGTCGAAAGTACTATATGGAACGCTCGAACAGTAACTCCTTTAGTAGCGCATTAAGCCCGCTTTAATTAGTATATGTACTTTTTATTGAGTAGATTTACTTCTTCAATTTTAGTTTTCAAACACTATTAAATGTTCATAAATGTTTATTAATAATAGGAAACATACATTCTTATTCGAGAATTACATACAATTGTTTTTTTCATTTTCAAAAAACTTTTTTTCTTTCATCTTTTTTTGATACAAAATCAACTACTATAGCATCAATATCAACTTCATAATCTCGTTCTATATTTATTAATGCTAAACATGTTAATCGTTCTTGTCCAGTTGTATTTCTAATGTATGTTTTTATTCTCCGTAACGATGAAAAGCTTCGTTCACAACCACATACATTAACAGGTATTGTCCACATAATTTTTAATAATTCAGCCATTGTTGAAAGTGATAAATGGAAATTATGTTGAATAAAGAACTTTGTTGATGCTGCTAAACTCCAATCTTTTTTTTCATCAAGTGCTGTTTTGTATAATCGCTGTTCAGCCCTTAAATCATCATAATTCATATTGTAAAAGCAAGCAATTTCTTTTAATTCATCATTACTTAATAATACTTTTGTTAAGAATAATTTTTCACATAAAACAACTATAGATAAATAGTTTTTATCAAATCTATCTTTAATAGATGTTACAATTTCATCCAACACTGCATAAAACGAATTAACTCGATATTCATCTTTTATTGTTAAATTACTTGAATTAACATCACTACCACCTAATTTTAATGGAAATTTTCGTTTACGACGTTCATGAGGTTCATCAATATTGTTAATCATACAAATTTTCATTGATTCATGCCAAATTCTTTCAAATTCATCTTCATTTCTTAATGATTCAAGTGTATCAATTGTAATTTTAACTTGTGCTAATGCATCAGTTAAAGTAATATTTGAACGTTGTAAGAATTTTGATAATATTTGTGTAATCATGTATATTTCAGTCATCATATAAATATGAAAAACAAAATCAAAAGTTTTTATTACATGTAATAATATATATGAATCACTAGTTTCAAGTTTTTCCAATGTATTTAATATTTCTAAATAACGACTAGAAATAACTTTCAAACTTTCATATCGACAAGCCCACCGAGTATCTGATAATTGTTTTAATGATATGGATATAATACCAGATTCTTTTTGCAAATCTTCAAATACTTTATGTCGTTTTGGTGATGCTTCAATTAAATTATATAATGATTTAACGACACCAAAATTGTTTCGAATATGTACAACAGCTTCTGCAACATCTACTAAACACAAGTTTAGAACGTGCCCGTTACAATGTACATATAAAGCTGTTGGTGAAACTTGTATAAGACGACTAGCAACACCCTTATATTCACCGGTCATTGAACTTGCTCCATCAAAACCTTGACCTACTATATTTTTGATATCTAAACCAAGTTTATTTAACCATTCTATTAATAAATTGAATAAACCTAATCCAGTTGTGTCAGAAGCTCGTTCAAAACCAAGAAAACGTTCATAAACATTGAACTGATCGTCAGTATAACGTATTACTAAGGAAACTTGCTGATGCCGTGTAATATCAGTAGTTTCATCTATCATAACTGAATAATACTTGCAAGTTTTTATTTCAGATACAATTTGAGAAATTATATGTTGTTGTATTAAAGATAATAATTCATTCTGTATTGAATGATGTGTATATTTTAATGTTTTTAATTTCTTTTTAATTAATTCATTTTCTAAACTTCGAAATTCGAGTAACTCCAAAAGATTGCCTAAAACAAAGGACGTTATATGTGTAAATATTGTACATGAACATGATTGAATTATCGTTTCTAAGTCTAGTCTCAATAAATTACCTTTATTTTTTGATTCATCATCTTCACGATGACCCCTAAAAGGTAATCCTTGTTTAGCAAGAAAAATGATTGATCGAATTATCTTTTAAATAATTTCGGTTTTCTAATGTTTGTTTTTTATGTTCATTGTCAATTAATTTCAAAACATCAGTATTATCTGTAAGATTTCGAACAGCATTTATATATGAATCATTAGCTTGTTTATGTGATAAAGTTGATTGATGTTTATTAAACTTTTGAATAGCCATTGACCAAGTATTAAAACCATTCTTGATATATGCATCATCACAGCGTCCAGATGAATAAGCAAGTCGACAAACAAAACAATAAGCTTTTTTAGTCATATCACTAAATTCAATCCATGGATAAATCTTATACCAACTAGAACAAAAATGTCGATGATTAATTGTTGGAAAAGTAGTAATAGGTTGATAAGGACCTAATAATAAAAATTCTTTAGCTGCTTGTGGACCTCGACCTGGATCACGTTTAAATGAATTCATTTGTGAACATTCAGCTAATAATTCATGATTATCTGTTGTTGTTCTTCTTGTTGTTGTAAATTCATTTTCTTTGAGAGTTAAATTTTCATTATCTTGATTTTCAAGTTCAAAACAAGTACTGGTTGACGAAGATAATGATGTTGATAATCGATCATCAAGTTCATTCAATACTATTAATTCGTTTGTATTGATAATAGTTGTATTTGTGGTGGTAGGATGATTTATATTCCATATATCACGTGAAGAAGATACTGATTTTTTTGAGAAGTAATAAGAAAGCTTATATTTTTCAGACATGCTACTTTTATATTTTAAAAACTAAATGGCACCTTGTAAATTATGTTAAATAGCAAATAAAAAAAAACTGAAAGCTAAATGATAATTGTAAAAACAAGCATTATGTTATGTTCCAACTCTATTTCATTAATCTCCTCACCTTATATACACCAGCCAGGAGAGAGAAAAATACATCGTCGACGAGAAAATGGACTAACATAGAAGTGAGTGGAAAAAGAAGTAACCCCGTTATCTATTGGTGCTAAAGGAGGAAAGAGATGACCACTTATGAATAGAAAGGTAGACGATGATAATGAAACAATAAGAGAGAGATAAGTCGGACGAAGTTAATGACCGTTTGAGAATACGTATCATTGTTGGCACAGTAATATCACTTTTATTAGATGCAAGCAGTAAGATCAGTCATTTCCTTTCACCAATTATACGTTGGTCAATCAGACTTAACTCTTTCGATGAGATTAGATAACGATCATTCGAGTATTAGTAATCAGCCTTATGAAGAAAGAATCAACCTAGGGTATTATAGTGGTCTTGGTCGAGCGGTAAACCTTAGACATTGCTTATTGTAGAAGAAGGAGCTCCAAAACAATAAAAAAATGCATTATGTGTTACTTAAATGATCCTATGTCATGCATGTATAGCGAGAAACCCATACATTAGGATAGCAATAAACAACTCCTGAGACTTAGATACAATGCTCACACATTAACTACAGAGTCACATCGAATATGTGTATGACAAGTACAGTAGTTTCACTCTAGAATTTACAGGAAGCGTGAAAAATTAGAGGAAGCAATAAGTTCTTATTGCTTTCAATAATTTATTTTAGGGGTAGCAATTGCTAACCATTGCATTGCTGGCGCGCCGCCTATGGGTGTGGGTATAGATATACGTGTTCATGTGGGTCTTCTCTTCACCCACATCGACACCCACATCCACTCACACCCTACACAAATGAATGATTTATTCAATTCAATATATGTTATTTAGATGAGAGCAGATGCCCAGATACTTTTGAATCCAAAAATTTTAAGTCATTTGAACACTGTGTTGGAAACGGTAAAAGATTGATTTATTTTCCAATCTCATAGAATAATATTCGATCTATCCAATTTGTATATGTTCACATCGCCAGAGAGGAACAACCACATAATCGGGCAGTTTTATCATCGAGTATATCAATTATGATCTTTACATATGCAATGTTGAAAATTGAATTCTATTATTCGATTTTTTTCTAATCTTCCTGACAGGAACCATGACATTATTCTTCACATCCACACCCTCCTAATCAGATTCTAAAACTAAGATAGAGAAATCCAATAGCAGTTCTTCCCAAACGCATCACTTCAATTCTATTTTTTTTCAGGTATCCACTAGCTTGAATTCGTGCAATCCTTCAGACGACATGCTGAGAAATGACGATAGAAAAACAGAGATTTCCATAATAAACAAGCCTTAGGTTTAATCTTTAGTAGAATTATCCACTTAAACCCGCAAAGTCTTGATCACATTTACACTGAACTTGAGATGAAAACCTCTTTTCTTCTTATAGAAGAACAAAAACTATTCCTTTGTTTTTCATTTAATCGTTCATTTATAGCTATTCGTAGCATATCATTGAATGCACGATGGGCACAGAATGGTATGACTGTTGCTAGAGGTCACGGAAGAGGCGATGCCACTAATCAACTCAACGACTCTTGGGGTCTTTTCGTTGATGATGATCAAACAATGGTCATCGCTGACTACAACAATCATCGTATCGTCCAATGGAAGATGGGTAATACGGATGTATAAGTGCTAATTGGTGGTAATGGCATAGAAAATCGATTGAATCAATGGAATTGGCCAAGTGATGTTTTGATCGACAAAGAAACGGATAGCCTTATTATCTGGGATCGATGAAATCGGAGAGTCTTAAGGTGCCCTCGTCTTGGTGGCACAACTCAAGGAGAAATTCTCATCGACAGCATCGATTGTTGAGGATTGGCCATGAATGAACAGAGATGCCTCTACATCTCAGACACTGTCAGAGATCAAGTCAGACGATATCAGATGGGAGACAAAAATGGAAACATTGTGGCTGGTGGCTATGGACAATGTGCTGGTTTAAATCAACTCGACGATCCGAATTACATTTTTGTCGATCGACAACAGGATGTTTACGTATCAGACAGAGACAATCATCATGTGATGAAATGAAATAAAGATGCAAAAGAAGGAATACTTGTAGCTGGAGGTCAAGGTACAGGAAACGCTCTAACATAAGTGTCATATCCTATGGGACTATTTGTCGATGTATTGGGTACCATCCATGTGGCAGACTCGTTAAATCAACGGATGATGAGTTGGTCTAAACGAGTGAAACAGGGCACTGTTACTATAGGTGAAAATGGCTCAGGACCAGATAGAAATCAATTTCAGTATCTTCGGGGTTTATTCTTCGATCCTTGTGGCAATGTCTACGTTGCTGATAGGGAGAATAATCGAGTCCAACGTTTTTCTATCGAGTAGACTCGTAAAATATTGGTTTTCTTTCTTCTTTCAAATAAATAACCATGAATGACAGCTTGTCTAGCTAATGACGATTCAACGTGATCAAAGTTGCAGTTCAGATTTTTCACATAAAAAGTTGATTGGTTTGTGGAGCAAATTCAACTGTAAAAGGATATGAGTCTGTTTTTTTTTCATTTGTCCCAGTTGATAGAAAACGAGGATCAAAAACAGTATTTATGAATTAATGGTACAAGTGTGCATTCTCATAGTACACAGAAAAAGGTTCTGAACAAACATTCTCAACCGCTTTGTGAGAGAACTTTGGCATGAAAATAGTCATTAATGAAGAGGCACTATTTTAGACAATTTGAAAAATGTCAATCGCTTACTGGTTTTTAAAAAATAATCTCACAAAACTCTACAAGAAGAGAGATGAGTGCATGACCATTTAGAAGATTTGTTAAATTTATTACCTTAGTACATGAGACCTTTCTAACGAGAAGTGCTAATATACTTCTAACTTTTGACGAGCTATCATATGCACGTTTTAGAACTTTTCAAAATCGCATCCGAAAGGAGAATGAATTGTAACGCACTCATGCAATATTTCGACGTCAGATAGCTAATTAAATTACTGGTCACAAACTTTATGTTCAGCTCTTTTGTCTAGGCATGAACACTAACACAAAATCTATTACGATTCAGCTATATTAGTTTAATGGAGATATAACACATCTAATTTTGAAATATTCAGGAATTTTCAAATCACTTTTACGGTGAAAGTTTTGTTTCATTGACATACATGATAATCCAAAATTTACAGTACCGAAAAAATTTCAATATCTTCGTTACGTCGCGAACAAACGGCTAATGTTTTACTAATACTAGAGGCGTATTCGCTCTTTAAATCTTTACGAATATTATTAGAGAAAATGCTTGTAAGTGTCACTATTGGTCTTAGTAAAAAAGTTTGACATTTGCACAGATACCGAAAAAACAATATACTATGAAGAAAAATCAATTTATAAAGTATTAAATTAAAAGAATAGAGTACAATCAATGGCATCTCAATTATTACAAGTGCAAATGTATAAGCGATCAACTTCACTATTTAACAAAATATTATGTATAATATTTGAGAGACTTCTGGCGTTTATTTATTGAGGATTTATGTACTGTGGTATCGTGTGAAATTTATCTCCAAATTCTTAGCAACCTATTGAAAAGTTCCCATAAATCCCAATGAAATAAGTTCTGATCGCTGTTGGTGTAATCAACAGCGATATATGTACACAATATTGTCTTCTATTATCACTAAAAATGATAATCAATCTAGATAGAAAACATCAATTTTTATCCGTACACTTATTTTATGAAGAAATTTTCAATGAAATCAATATCGAGTTGTTGATCAATAGGTCTAGACATTTTCAATTTATTAAGACAGAAATAAAGGTGAAAATTCTTCTGTTCTGTAGGTCATCTTCTTTAATATTTCTTAATATGTTCCACAAATGTTTGCGACGTTTTTTTCTGCCGCCATTTTTTCTTTTGCCTTCTTTTTGTCGCTATTTTATCTTTCAGTCATTTTAATACATACAGAAACTATGTCGATCAAATATATTTTTATATGATGTCGTCTATCCAATCAATATCATTGATTGCGTTATTAATAATATTTGATAAATGAGAATAAATAAGAATTTTAAGAACTTATCAATAATTAAACATGTTACAATCATGACTCATTTCAACAAGATTGAATTGACTTAGGTCTAGTTTTAATATTAACATTGCATGATGTTTGATAGTTTGATGCAACGATAATATTATATTTTTAAATTTATAAATATTGTAGATAAAAAAAAATCAAGGTCAGAAAAAAAATATTCTATTGACTTAACGTTTTCATTTTGCAAAAGTGCAAAACTACTTCATATTGTTCGTGTGAGAGAACATAATAGAGCTATTCTTGATAGGAGAAAGAATACTACACAATAATCAAATAAGACACAAATATAACCTTGATATAGATGTCATCATTCAGAAACAATCCCAGTCCTTTACTAAAAGCTAATATTTTCTCACGTTTTTTTCATTGGTAAGTTGTATCTTATCATTTTATTTCTGTTAATTAGCATTTCAGTTATGTAGTTGGTTATCTTCTTTAATTACAAAAAGTCATCAACAAGGAACACTTCATCTCAATGATCTTTATGATATTCCTACTTATCTTGAATCAACATCATTGACTAATAAGTTAGAAGCAAATTGGTTGGATGAAATAAAAAAATGTCCACAAAATCCGAGTCTAATTCGAGCTACATTACGCACTATGGGATGGAAATTGATACTTATTGGTCTTTTATTAATACCTCTTGTAAGCAGAGATAATCGAATTTGAATTTATTTTAATCTAAATATCTTTATTTTAATATAATTCTTTTTTTTACTAGGAATCATTAAATATTATCCAACCATTATTACTCATCTATTTCATTGGATTTTTTGAACCATGTTCAACAATATTTGCTTGGCAAGCTTGGTTAGCAGCTTCGGCTGTTATCATAGCACTATTATGTATAAATCTTATTTTTCACCAAGTAATAACAATATCTAAATATTATACATATATGGATCATTCTCGATTTTATTTACGTAGTACGTTTATCGTGTTGTCATGTGTGGTATACAAATGCGAGTAGCTTACAGTGGTTTAATCTTTCGAAAAGTGAATAAAAATTAATTGATAATATAATTATAATTTATTGTATTTAAACAGATACTTCGTTTATCAATTCATTCAATGAATAATTACGCTTCTGGTAAAATTATGAATTTATTAGCAAATGATGCTAATAAAATAGAAATAGTTCATTTCTGTTTTAATTATTTATGGGTATGTGTTTTTTAAGAGCTAAAATACGAATCAAATATGAAAATGTGCTGTGAGTACTATTATTTATCTTTTGTAGATCGCTCCACTACAAATCATTGTAGTTATTTTTTTATTGTGGTATTTTGTTAAATATATTACTTTTATTGCCATTGGATATACACTATTACTCCTATTGATTCAACCATTATTCAGTCGTTTGTTTCTTCATTTACGGTTTGTTTATTTTTCTATATATGTTATTACCCGAATTCATGATTTGTAGTACTGAAGTTTTGAAAGTAACTGATGAACGTGTTAAAATTATGTCTGAGATTATCAAATCAATGCGAATTGTAAAAATGTATTGTTGGGAATCAGCATTCGAAAGAAAAGTTCGTCATATAAGAACGTTAGTGTATCCATTATTCTATTATTTACAATATAAAATAAATATCAATATATATCTAGACATGAAATGATTAAAACAATTTTATATATGATGAGTACCTGTATTGAAACGGTCTTATCACATAGTTATATTAGTGTAACATTCTTAATGATGTATGGAACAATGTGGTTATTTGATATAAAATTTGATACAGGTGTCTTTACTCTTTCCTATGTATTACTTAGTTATACACGTATATCTTGTATTACTTTTTTTAATATGGCTATTCGTGATCTTCTTAATTATATGGCTGCTCAAAAACGAATACAAGTTAGCTTGAATAGATGTTTTGATTGTCATAATTGATATGACTAATTTTCTATAGACATTTCTTTTACTTGATGAATCGGAAAGAAATAATCGATTATTATCAACATCTTTTAAAGATATTGTTGAAATAGAGAACATAAATGAAAATTTAATAAAACAAACATCGAAAATTATATGTAATTTAAAACAAGCTCAATGGGAAAAAGTTAATGTTCTCATGAATTTTTTTTTCTAAATAAAATCATAATTATGATATTGTAGAATGGAAAATTTTCATTAACAAATATTGTGTTCAATGCTCATCCTGGTGATTTTATTTGTATTATTGGACCTGTTGGATCCGGAAAAGTTTGTTTTTTTTTTCAAATTTGAATAGAATTTCATTTTTGATTTAATTTATTCAGAGTTCACTTTTACAAACATTAACAGGTGAAATAACTTATTTTGATGGAAAAGTTAGATTATATGGATCATATTGTTATGTACCACAAGAATCATGTAAATAGATTATTATTGAAAACTTATTTAATTGATTGTATTTCAGGGATATTCTCGTCATCAGTAAAAAATAATATTCTTTTTGGTAAAGAATATGATTCTAAATTATTTCAACGTGTTGTTCGTGCAACTGCTCTCGATATAGTAGGATTAATTTAGATGTTTATTTACAGAATAGTATGCCATTGTATTTAATGAATAGGATTTTGTTCAATTGTCTCATGGTGCAAATACTCTTGTTGGTGATCAAGGTGTTATGTTGTCTGGGGTAAGATACAATGGTTTATTCGAAATAAAAAAAAAGAAAAAGTATATTCAAATAATTTATTATTCATAGGGTCAAAAAGCACGTGTCAATATGGCAAGAGCACTTTATCGCGATGCTGATATTTATCTATTAGATGATCCACTTTCAGCTGTTGATGCTAAAGTTTCTAAACATCTCTTTGACGAGTACATAGAAATGCCGTTCTTTTTTTTTATTTTCATCATCCAAATATCAATGAATTTTAGATCAATTAAAAATTATCTTCATGATAAAATTTGTATTTTAGCTACTCATCAAATACAATTTTTACAAGATGCAACTAAAATTATTGTTCTCGATAATGTATGTTTGTCAATAAAAATGTTTGTGTGATTTTTTTTTATAAAATTCACTATGTATTATATAGGGTGAAATGATACAAATGGGAACATATGAAGAATTACTTTTATCTTCATCAATATTTGCTCAACTTCTTGAAAATATTAATCAACATGAACAAAAACAACAAACAGATTCTTTATCAAATCAACAATCAAGAATTGGTTCAATAAGTTCAGAAAAAGAGAATTCAGACGAAGAAGATATTAATGTATTACCAAAAAATCTTGAAACAAAATCAGAAGGAACAGTAAAATGGAATATTTATATATCATATCTTCGAGCTGGTGTTGGTGTCATTTTTGGTTTTCTATTAATTATAATTATATTTTCAATACAACAAACAATATCTATTTATAGTAATTGGTGGTTAGCAGCATGGAGTGATGATGAAAATCGTCGTCGTCATCAAAATTTAACGTATTGTGTGGTGACACGAGACAAGAAAATAGATACACTATATCAAATGAATGATATTGAATGGTATACACATCGAGATCGACGATTTTATATATTTTGTGGTTGGTTTGTTAATGAAATTTTAGTTGCTTTTTCTATATTCTCATATTGAATTTTAGCTCTCGTACTTTTACTTTGCTTTTTAATATTTCTTCGTACTGTTGTTTGTCGACTTATATGTTTAAATTCTGGTCGAGTACTACATAATAAGTAAGTTATTTGTCAAACTTTGATCTTCTGCTTTCTTAATCTTTGTTTTTTTTTTCTATTTTCAGAATGTTTCTACGAGTCATTCGATGTCCTATATCTTTTTTTGATACGAATCCAGTTGGTAAGTATTTGATTTATTTTCAATACATCCTTTTCGAAAAACAAAAGTTTAAATTTCTGCAACATACAGAAATATCTAATGAATAACTAGAGCAAAACAAGCGGGATGAACTTTAAATAATACATTTTGTTCTTTCACTACAATAAATTCAAATTAAGAAAATACTAAAAATTGTAGAAGTAAATAACATGAGTTCGAGTTTCTCTTTAATGTTTGTTTATAGGTCGAATATTGAATCGTTTTACAAGCGATGTTGCTGCAATGGATGATTCTCTACCAATAATTATACATGAGTTCCTTGTGGTAAATGTTATTTGTTTGTAATCTACGTAAATATAAACAACATATTTGTCTAGTGTTTATCTCAAGTATTGGGCACAATTGTTTTAGTTGTATTCCTCAATCCATGGTCATTTATTCCAGCAATAATTGCTGGATGTGGCATGTTCTATTTGAGATATCGATTTGCTTCATGTTCTCGTGATTTAAAACGACTTGTAGGAACAACACGAAGTCCTGTTTATTCACATTTAACATCAACTATTCATGGTGTCAAAGTTATTCGATCTTATCATGCTGAAAATATTTGTTCTAGAGAATTTCATTATCATCTTGATAATAATACACGAGTCAGTTATTTGATTGCAACATTGAATAGATGGTCAGCAATGCGTTTTGATTGGGTATCTCTTATATTTATTGCTTTGGTGATTATACTTGCCATAATTGTTCGTATAAGTCAACGTCAATTTTCAGCTGTTGATATTGCTCTTACACTCACCTACAGTCTTAATTTAATGGGCCTTTTTCAAGGAACTATCAGGTTAGAGCGTGAAAAATAAAGTGTACATTTTTTATCTGTCTAGAATATGCTGTTTATTCAAGACAATCAGTTGAAGTAGAAACTCAAATGACATCAGTTGAACGAATACTTGAATATTGTTCACTTGATCAAGAACCACCTAGTCAACTACCAACTAAATATCGACCACTAACAAATTGGCCATCACAAGGTCGTATTGTTTTTGAAAATGTTTCTATGTCTCATTCGAAAGAATTACATTCACCATTGGCTCTTCATCATGTATCATTAATAATTGAACCTGGTGAAAAAATTGGTATTGTTGGAAGAACAGGTGCTGGTAAAAGTTCGCTCATTCAAAGTCTTTTTCGAATGGGTACACTAGTCGATGGTCACATTATCATTGATAATATTGATATAGCAACTGTTGGATTAGATGATGTTCGACGTCGTATTTCAATTATTCCACAAGATCCTGTTCTTTTTACTGGTACAATACGAAGTAATCTTGATCCATTTGGTTTTTATTCAGATGCTGAAATATGGAATGCACTTGAACAAGTCAGTCATAATTGAATCATTTTGTTTTAAGTCAATAGTTGAATAAATTTGTGTTTTGCTCATATAGGTACTATTGAAAAAATTAGTAACAGATATGATGTCAAATGCTCTTCATTCATTAGTAAGTGAAAGTGGATCTAATTTGAGTGTTGGTCAAAAACAACTGGTATGCTTAGCAAGAGCTTTATTGAAAAAGAGTAAAATTCTTGTAATTGATGAAGCAACTGCTAATGTGGATAATGTGTGAGTGACAAAAAAAAATGAGATATTTAGAATAAAAAAGATTGAAAATATTATCTAGAACGGATGAATTGATTCAAAGAACCATTCGTGATAAATTCAAAGACTGTACAGTATTGACAGTAGCACATCGTTTGCGTACAGTGATTGATAGTGATCGTATCATGGTATCGAATATTGATGGTTATTTTACAAAATGTATACATTTATTTTGTTGTTGTAGGTGCTTAGTAATGGAAAATTGATCGAGTTTGATTCGCCTCAAGTATTACTGTCAAATGATAGCTCTCATTTTACTTTACTAGTGGAACAGACTGGAATGACTGAAGCGGAATATCTTCGAACATTAGCAAACTCTACTGAATCGTGTACAAGACAGAAACAAGAAATACATGACTTCGATGACGATTCAGCATTAGAAACTAATGAAATGGATCCTCTTGTTCCTTCATTGAAATTATTGTGATTCAATGCAATGAAAAATAACTTTTTATAGGTATTCAGATTGTGCTAGTTATTATTACTTTTGACTCCTTAATAAAACTATTTCAAAAAGAAAAAAGCTTCTGATTTCCTTTATATCCGACATATTGACTTTCGTTGTCATGCAAAATATTAAGTTGAAAAATATGTAAACATAATTGCATAAAGTAACAAAAACCTTGTCAATGAACACTCATATGGATACAAATCAAATTTTTTCTTCTTCAGATTGGTGTTCTGGTGTACGTTGTATGACTATGTAACGCTCTATTTGTATAACATCTTATGAGAGAGCCTT